ATTGACTGATGTCAAAGCTGCTAAGAAAGTAAGTCTTCTTTCAGTAACCCACTAAACAGCTACACAGGTAGTAAGAAGTAACTAAATGTAACAGAAGCTGTAGCCCAAAGATCTCTTCCCACCCATCTCCAGCAAACATATTAAGGTCAAGTTATTACTGAAAGTTCTAAGACACAAAAAAGAACAGTCTTCTAAAGAAGAAATATGTTGTAACTAACTCAAAAGGCAGCATTACAGAACCACACCAATTGTTTCTGTCATCCTGTCCAAACACAAAATGTTTTATGAGTTCTCCAATGACACAATTCATGGAAGTTACAACCAAACAGGCCCTATCTTAACTAAAATCAGGACAAGATTTCTTTCCTAAGCCTCCTGCCCAGTCTGGTTACTCTCTCCAGAGACAGGGCTTCCTTTATTCCCTTCCGAAACCAGTGCTTTTGCATTACTTTTCATTGGCAAAGTTCCTTGGATACACAGCATAGAGCTTCCATTTCTTCTCCATTCTTTCTGTTTATACCACTGTACACAAGAGAAAATCTCTGTTTGACATTTACATCATTCAAATATTTATATACTTATGTTTCTCTCCCTTTCCCCATCTCCTTAATTGGGATTTAGCTGCATACTACATGCTTAAATTCATCTATCTGTCCTCAATAGTCCTCCTCAGTCCTCAGCAATGTTTGTAGCTAATTGCTGAATTCCTTCCATTTTGTCTGTATCTTTACAATGACAAACTACTCTGAAATGAAGCATTTCATGAAGATCAGATTCTTTTAACAGTAATCAGAAAGTCCCTAGCCTCAGAGCTGTCCACCAAAAAATGAAGTCACATGTCTTTTTCATTACCATATCTAGTAGTATTACAAACCTGTATTTAATTTAGGGCCACATTTTCTAAGCCGATTATCATTTTGCCATCCAAAACAAGACTTTCCAATTCCTCTCTGCTCAGCAATGTTTACACACGTTTCAATTACTCCACTTCCCTAGCTACTGTTTAAATGCTTTTCCAGATGACTAGCACGGATATCCATATTAACCAAATACTGAACTCTTCTCCCTATTCTATATCCCACAACACTCTTCACAAACATGCTTCAGACACTAGGTAAATTCCACCTCTTAAGCCAGTACTTTCCAACTGGCAGGTCCCAGGCTGCATGCAGCCTGCAAGGGTGTACAACAGTATGTCCCTGACAGCCACCACCCCTTTCTGGCCCTAGCACAACTTCCTCTCCAGAAACCCAGTTTAATGTTCCAGACTTACGGTGGGAGTAGTACAAGAGGCTGCACAACCCGCTAGAGGCCACTGTGGTGTTGCTGCTTTCTGTGGATTACGGTAAAGGAAGCAGGCCAAGGCCAATAATATAATCCCTTTATTCTTCAAAGGGTTTTTCCACGTCTCCCAAAATTTCCTATCCTTGAGACCCCTTAGCAGAAACGTCCAGAGAAGAGGACATTAGCTGGAGAAGGATTAGGCGGTAGAGATACATAGTGTGGGTGTAGCATGGATGTTACACAGAATTTGTGAATTTAACTTCACAGGGTGCATCAGGAATGTCATGGGAAATGTGCACAAGGCACTGAGGGCAAGAGCCACAAACACAGGCAGATGACTGACTCAATGTAACAAGCACCACCTTGCAATCTTACAGCCTGTGATACTGTGGGGATGCTAAAGAAGAAATCTGAGGGACTGGGCTGCATCCAGTAGCAGGATCAGACAAGAAACAGGAATGACTACTCACAAGTAATACAGGAATCCAACATCTGATCATCAGTTAATAATAAACTGAAGTTAAGAAGTGGGGTGAAAAGGGAGAGTTATCATGGGGAAGGAGTGCCTCCATCTTCTCCCTACACATCTCCACACACAGTGAAGAGGACAATGCTATATGTAAGCAAATGTCTTGACTGTGCTCTGCTTCTGGATTGCCTCTATCCAGTTTCTCCTCGCTTGATAGCACTTTACCATGAACAGCAAAGCTAATAGGGAACAACTTCACCCACCTATCCAAATTTCTTTCTAATAAGACTTCCTGAAAAATTGAAGAAAAGTTTTACTGAAAAAGTTTTACACAGATATGTATGCCAACTCAAAACACACACTACACCTTTCATCCACCTAAAAAGTATAAGGTAACAGGCTTGCCTAGTTTCTCCTATTCTTCACAAATTCCTGAAATACTCCTTGCAACCTGCAAGCATGATGTTAGAACTCACGGTCTTGGGAGGCATAGGTCAATGCCAATATTTTTGAGGCTAGAGTGGCAAACTTTATTTCATTTGTATTTCAACTGGCTGACTCAAGACAATAAAAAGCAAAAGGAAGTGCCCTTCTCAGTCTCCCTCCACAGCTGCAAGTTTTGTTTTGTTCAGGAGCAAACTACAGGTGGGCATAAAGGTCTACCTTCACAATTTTGCAGCAAGGCAATTGGCTTTCAGCTCCAAACTCACAATTTAGCTTAAATGTAGTACTATCATCTATTTTTCACATGTACCTTTAATGGATGATGATGTGCAGAGATTTTACAAGTGAATCAAATATAAAATGGCAAATCAAAAAAGTGCCTGCACAATCAAGCAATTACATTAGGCCTCTACACTTCCCACAGTGAAAAAGCAAGCAACTAGCATCTACTTGCTTGCTCTTTTTCTGGTTTATTTTGCATATTAAGAATGAAGACTTGAAGTAGCATGAGTATTTGTTCAAATACTCAAAATGTCATTTAAAATCAAAAGAGCTTATTCTGTGGTGAAGAGGTCAGTCTGGATTTCAAATGGAGCAATAATCTGGACAACATGACATTCTTTGTCTAGTTTTATGAGAAGCAGTTGTCATTCCCCGTTAATCCTTTACATCTATCCTTTTACATGCTCATAGCTTTAGTAGGTTGTCTTACAAAATACTTGTAGATCTGCTATTTTTGTATTATTAAAACCTTCACTTTTTAACTGCTTTGCTTGTGAAATGTGAACAAGTTGTGTTGTCATGGATACATAAAGATTAGGGAAGGGGTAAAACTATCACAAAATCTGCACGCATGAATAACCTGAATTATGAATGCTTTTCTCCCTACACAATTTGCATGATTTTGCAAATGCAGCTGCACCACTTAGTTGATTATGTTAAAAGTTCAAAACATTTGCTTTATCTGAAATTCTTCTTCTATAGTTGTTAATATTGTACAAGCTCATTTAAGTGCCCATGAAACAATGTCAAAATCCAGCCTCTGTATTCAGAAGGTTGTTTTTCTTTTTAAAAACGTCTTTTTGTTTGTTTGCTTTTTAAGAGTGAAGGCTATGTATGACACAGTGTGTATCCTTCAACGCAGCTGGATTTTCTTCGTCCTCCAGTACTGCTGACAGACCCAAGGAAATATTTTTCTGTCATTTCCTAACTATTCAAAAGCCACTTTTACTTCACACAAGATGAACCTTTAAACAGACAGGACAAAATACAGGCTGGGGAAGAAAAAAAAAAAACCAAAACCACAAACCAAAACCCAACCTAAAACCAAACAGTTTCTACTTCGTGGAAGTAACACCATTGGTATCAATCCAGACAGGAAGTACCTTTTGCCACGGACCCCAGGCAAGTTTTGACACTACCTTTAGCACTTTGCCGTTAAGAGCCTATTCCGACTCTCAACTTGACTTGCACAGACACCTGCTAACTGATCAAGTTTAGAGATGTTCTAAACAGCAAAGGCAAACAATTTCGCCAGCTACCAGTTTCATCAATAATGAACTTGGCTGCTCCAAGAAAAGACTTGCAAAAATGACAGCGGAATTTCCAAAGAACATCAAGGAAAGGAAAGAGAAATACATAATAGTCAAAATAATTTC